GACTCTGTAAACCGCTTAGAGAGGGCTGAAAGCCCTATGAAGCGGTATATAAGTTTAACTGCTATTGCTATTGCCTAAAAATTGCTATTTTTTTTTAATCACACTACTTTTGTTCTAAATACTTAATTCATGAACATTCCAGGAGAAATGTTAGGTGAATTATTGGTCAGTGGTTGGATGATTGAAGTTGACTACTTTTTCAAAATCCATGAACTGTCTCTAATACCCTTTATTGCTATTTACCAAAGTAATAAGTGTGAAATCTCATGTAGTTGTTTCAGTAATTAGTAAGCTAGGGGTCATGATTCAGGGCAGTCCCACATTACTTTCCCTGATTTTTGTTAATGAAAGCAGCAATAGGATGATGCTGTCTAAAGAAAAAAAGAGCATGGGGAATGGACAAAGACTTTTTTATTTCACTGATTTTTCTATTCAAAATGTATGGCTCATCACTTTCCTTTTAGAAATAAAGTTGTAGAAAGGTATTAGCTTTATTTAAAAAATATTGCTTCATTAATGCATTCATGATATTTTCAGTTTAAAAGTAAACGGAAATCTTAGGCTATTGCTATCCAAAAGATCTTCATAAGCCTAGATCAGAGGTGCCAAACTCGCGACCCTTGGGCCAGATGCGTCAGGTGCTGGCCACGCCCACCCCCATTTTAGAAAAGGGGGAATTGCAATACGTCACATGACGACAATGTGTCATCACGAGTTTGACGCCCTGGCCTAGGTGATCTGACTTGATATTTCATGCTTGAATCTCATATACAGTATATTGTATTCACTCACCTGCCTTTACTCGCATATGAAATTATATTGGCTCCCAATAGATGTTCAGGTGCAATTCAAGTTTCCTGGTTATTGCCTTTAAAGCTTTAGATACCGTAGAACTGAGCTACTTTCAGGACTACCTGCTCCCCTCAACCTCTGCCTGCCCCATGTATTCCCATATGGACTTGCCGCATGCTCCAGATCTCTGCTGACTGATGTCTAATGGATGTTGTTGCAAATTCTCTACCCAATATTCATATTAATACAGAATAGATAAATGAAAATCAGTCTGATAAAATCCAGACTAACTATAATTAGCACAAAGAATAATGAAAAAAGCCATTAATTTGCAGAAGTCACGTTATAACTAATATGCATCTGTAGGATAATAAAAATGAATGAAGCATGGAGTAGACTAAGGAAATATCTAGCTACATTATGGGCACCAATGCAGTGTCAGTGATTCAACAATGAATCCAAAGGGGAATAACATACTAACAGCAATTCAATCGGGAAGACATAATCACAGGTTAAATACTGTAAGTTCATATGCGAGTAAAGGCAGGTGAGCGAATACTTTTGGCAATATAGTGTATCTCAGTATGGAAGGAAAAGTGAGTAGTGTTTGTTATTGTGAGTACAATTACAACAGTTCATTTAGTGACCATTCAAAGTTTCAATGGCCCTAGAAAAAGTGACTTATGACCATTTTTCACCAAACTTTTGCAGCATCCCCATGATTATGCGATCAAAATTCAGATGCTTGGTAACTAGTTCATACTTATGACTGTTGCTGTGTCCCGGGCCCATATGATCACCTATTGCAAGCAAAGTTAATGGGGAAGCCAGATTCACTTAACAACCAGGTTGCTAACTTATAAACTGCGGTGATTCGCTTAACAACTGTGGCCAGAAAGGTCATAAAATGGAGCAAAACCCACTTAATAAATTATCACTTAACAAAATAAATTTTGGGCTTAATNGCTTATTTCAGGGGTCAAAAGCAAATAAGACCTTGTATTGTTTTTGGGGAAACACAGTACTATCTTTATTTGTTAAGTTACATTATCTCATAGCAGGCATACATTAAATATAATAAAATATATAGCAGTTTCTTTATAGTATTAATTATAAAAGCTCCTGACCTTGATACAAATGGCCCAGTTCAGCTGTTTGCCTTTTGAAAAGTTTGTTAAATAACTAATTGCACCTGAATATGGATGGGAAGGAATCTCCACTAAGCATGTCATAGAAAGCAAAGGACAGAAAACATCCATGTTTGCAATCAGTAGTGAGACTACACTTGGATTACTATATACGCTTCTGGTCATTATAATGTTTTGTTTATTTAGCGTATGGCATACATGTCAGGGAAATCTACACATGCTAGACACAATGCAGTGCTGACAGCCTAGATTGCTAATTCATTCTGTTCAGCGCATGCGTGTCTATCCTTGGTGCACTGTGGAGGGGCGAGGCGAACTGGCTTTGCACCATTTAGCTAGTAGTATTCCGGTTTCTGGCTCTTCCAGGCTCCTCCGCTGGTCTTGCCCCACCTTGGGTCACAATGCCTCACATCCTGCCAGGTCATTCACTGGCTTCAGCTCTCTGCACACACGAATGCAGCTAGGTTATAACAATGACTAAGTGGAAATAGATTTTAATAAATGTGAATTATTTTCATGTAATTTCCAATAACATCAGGCTTTAACTTGAAAACCTTTTAATAAACAAATCTTAAACATTTTGCCTAAATGAGTTATTGCTCTCCTTTTTATCATGATATATTACTTCCAATAAGAACTAGATGATTTGATTTTATATATAGGTAATCCTCCACTTACAACCGCAGTTGAGATCAGAATGTCCATCGCTAAGCAAAAAGTGGTTGTTAAGTGAGTAACACTTGATTTTACAACTATTTTTTGCCATGGTTGTTAAGGAAATCACTGCAGTAGTTAAATGAACCACATGACTGATACAACTTATTTTAATTTATTGTTTTATTCATATTGCTGCATAACAGTGGTTTTGAGTTTTGTTATACTCTAATGAGGTTTCTAGAATGCATGCTGATGTATACATAAGGTTTGATCATTGCTGTTAATCAATGCCATTGATTACTACGTAACCTGGTACTGACATAAGATGGTGCTTTTCAAATGGAAGAGAAGAATAAATATTGAAAGAATTCAAATATTGATCAGTAATACGTTATTACAGTTTGCATTTTCAAGGTTTCCTTTTGTGCCTCAAATATGTATTTGTAATCATAGTTTTCATGCATAACTGTGTGTTTCCTTCCTTAATGGTAGAAGTAGAAGTAACAAATCTGTTATTGTTCAGATTAAGGCAACAATTAATAGCAATAGCACCTAGACTTATATACCGCTTCACAATGCTTTACAGCCCGCTCTAAGTTTACAGAGTCACATATTGCCCCCAACAATCTGGGTCCTCATTTTATCGACCTCAGAAGGATGGAAGGATGAATCAACCTTGAACCAGTCAGGATCGAACTGTACAGTCAGGATCAAATAGTAGTCAAATTAGCCTGCAATACTGCATTCTAACCAAGGCACCATCTTGGCTCTTAATAAAATTAAAACATATTTTTAATTGAAGCTGAATGTATAGTAAAAAAATTTTTTTTCTTGAAATGATATTCATGTGTAGCAGGATTTATTAATCCATTAATTTCTCATTTTCCATTTTACACAGCGCAAGTGAGGAAATAGGCAAGAAAGTGACAATGAACCATAGTTACTCTTGCATTTTAACTAGGATATCTTTGCTATACATTGGTAGACCTATAAGCTAGATGGTGAGTCTACCTATTCTGGAAATGTTTAAAGTTCCTGCTTTTTCTTCAAAGATGAAATACGATTTTTTTTTCCTGTCCCAATTTAGATATTCAAAATACAAGTATAAGCAGAATTGTGTCAAGAGTGTTTTATTTTTTTTAAATCAGTTATCAGTGCTGCTTTGCTCAGTTGGTGAATAATAAAAACTGGTTTTAAAGTCTCTTAATTTTGGCTTATGCAATCAATATAAACAAGGTGAAGATATCGAGGCATTTTCTGATGCTATAGTCTAATTTCAGCTTTTTAAAGCTTGTTTTATAAGCTTTAAAGTTTTTTTTAATGATTGGCTAATTTTAAATAATGATTATAAGATAATATAAGCGAATAGTTTTAAATTTGAGAGTTAGCTATGGCTGTGTTTGTGTTTAAATTTACTTGCCATGTTTCTTCAACATACACTTTTTGGCACATTCTGTTTACAAATATTAAATCACACAATTTCTGTATAGCAGGATACCAGGCAAATGCTGTTGCCTGGGGAATTAATGTTTAGGAATGATTTAATGGAGATCAGTATGGAACTGTTTATTCTACATTGGAATAGGTTGAAAATATTTGATAGTTATTAATTTTGAAATGAAAAAAGTGCAAGAGGCAAAAAGCTGCATAAGAGTCATTGAATTAGTAGCTTTGTTCTAAAAATGTATGAACAGTAGCTTCACTGTTTAGTGGCGAAAAAAGGAACTACTGCTCTCTCTCTTTTCTTCCTTTAAATATGATCTAGGATTAAATACTGATACTGAAAGATAAGGTGATAGTCCCCACTTTGTCAATTAGATGGCCATTATGTAAGACTCTTGGTTTAGGCAATCCCCCCCCCCTTTTAATGTTACATCTTTGTGCCATACATTAACTTCCATCTACAATATTTTCTCTGTGATTATCTTCATTGATTTATTTGTGAAGAGATAATTTGATAAGATTGCAATGTTATGTGTATTAATTATGAACGCCTTAATGAACTCAGCAAAGCTTGTCTTGGATTAAACATTTTATTATTGTTTTTTTAATAACCTACTTTTTCTTCTACAACTAATGTCCACAGTTGTAAAACTTAAAGACATTGTGGAATTGTAGAAACTCTGCCCAGAATTACCTATATATGAGTTGGGCAGTTATATAAATTTGTTTAATAAATAATAAATAGATATATAAAAGTGAGTAAAAAAAGAATCAATTACATATATCATCCTACAGCTTTTCTTGGCCTTTTCTTTGTTATGCTTTTCCAGAGGCAGAGCATTCTCTCTCTCCTCCTCTTTCTTCCCCTCTCCTCCCACTCTCCTCCCTCCCTCCCTCCCTCCCTCCCTCTCTCCCTCTCACACACCACACATACAGCGTCTTTGGATTTCTACCATTGAAGGTAGCCTAAAACATATTGCCTTCAGTCATAAGTATTTGTGGATAGGATAAAGGGAAAAGAGACATCATGTCTATCATGACACAATGCAAATGATATTATCTAATTTACATCATTTGCGCAATGATGTCATGACACTTGTGAAATAATTGTGTCTTGTATTGGGGTTTTATTTGCCTTCAGCTCTCCAATTACTGGGCAATATGATTGAAAAAGAGGAGTTGCTTACAATTATTTTTCTATACATGTTCTGTAGAATTGGCTTGCAAATTAGGAATTTAAAAGCTCTATAAATACTGTACTCTTAGCCTTCATTGATTAAATAAATAAAATTCCCTCTCAGCCTACATGTTTTGTACCATACTTTAATAAATTTAATATTTGTGATTTTAAAAGTCATTGTTTTATAATTAATTTGGGGGTGGAATGCAGTAATTAATTGTTTGAATGCTCCAGGATTTATATGGAAATGTTTCCTTTTAAACATTAATCTGAATTGAGCTGCTGAAAAAAAAAATCTGATGTTCTCTAGGAGATGTTCAAATCCTTCAAAATTGCCTACAGCTATTTAATAATTTCTCACGGTACCAGAATTCTATGCTATTTCAATTAAAAATAAAGGAACCTGAAGAGGAATTCTAATGTGGTTAGCTAAATGTTATAGATGCTATTTGGAGATTAAACAGAAAGGAAGGATAAAATAGAAAGGGAAAGTTGGAAAATACTACATTTATATATCGTTGAAGTTTTGTCTGATGAGCTGAACAATGACAATTTTATTTCCTTCATTAAAAGCTTAATAGGGGAAGAAAAAGAACAGTAGTAATTTGGGTAGGATAATGAAGGGTTGTGTTTCAGGTAAAAAAAAAGAGAGACTTTTCTCCTCAGGATATTAATATGTACTTTTGGGGAAAACAAGCTATCTGTTGAGGAAGCTACAGCTTTATGTCCTCATCACTAGAGATCTCCATATGCCCTTGGATCTTCAGAAGTCAGAAATGGCAGATTTCAGTTGCTGAGACCAGAGGGCTCTCATTGTGATTCATGGCAGGTATTCAGCTCAATCTGCCCAGAGCAAATCTGTTTAATGTTGATCAGCTGTCCATCTGATAAGTTGAATTGATATGGACATTTTCCTGGGAGGACTGCCCTGACAATGACAGCAGGAGCATCAGGATGCCTTATTAGTCTCTGTCTTCTCCCTCTCACTCACATCAACAGGAGAATATATTAACCCTTCCTTAGACCTTGGATTATAGCAGAATGCAGTTTTCTGTTCTAGAATATAAATGGCTTGTATTTCTGTTTCATTCTGGAAGACAGCAAAGTTTAACAATGATTAGAATGTTTCTGTCCCATGATACCATCTGTACCTCCATAATGTGATTTATGGCAATACTAGCTTAGCCATTGAATCAATACTACTGCTGCTGAAATAGGATACAAAATGATGATATACCCTTAAGACTCTTTTGGTCAATTTACATCATTAATTTTTTTTTCTTAATAATTATTGATACATTAAAATTGTCAGTCCACATTTGAAGAATGGAGGAAGGATTTACATTTTAAACTGTTTCAAGTTTCCAAGAAATAAATATTCTGCTCCAGACAGAAATTGTAATCAAAAGTGATCTTTAGTCAAATAGGTCCAAACAGAGTGAATGTTATATTTGCGTTGATAAGCACCCAGTTGTGCTCAATGTTTTTTTTTTTTAATATCTGTGACTCATGCAATGGTTCGGCAACTAACTGTATTACGTCTGATCTTTACTTTAAAGCCAAAGAACTCTTGCAGAGATCACAGAGTTGATCCACACAGCTTTCCTTGTGCATCGTGGAATAGTAAACATTAGTGAACTGACATCCTCAGATGGACCTTTGAAAGATATGCAATTTGGAAATAAAATGGCTGTCCTGAGTGGTGATTTTCTTCTAGCGAATGCCTGCACAAGTCTTGCTCAGCTGCAAAATACTAAGGTAATGTGATGAGAACATTTTTATATGTATTTTATTTTGAAAAACTGCTCAATTGCTGCTTTTTGTGAGCTTACTTTGTTATAAATCTTAGTGCTTTGAGGCATTTAGTGTCACTTTACATTGTATATACATCCCCTCCATCTTAATTTTACTAAATATGAAATGTCAGCTATGTCAGATGAACTAAATATATAAAATGAGTACTATGAAATTCTTTCTCATACTGATTCCCAAAGAGTCACTAGTGAGATTAGCAGGAAGATCTGTCCTTGAAGAAAGAGTGAAATAAAGTAAATGAATTATAGCAGTTTTGATTCATTGAGCATCTTTTCAAAACATGAAAAAGTGTAAACATGGGGAACAAGTGAACACTGATAGGCTGGCAGCAAATATTCATTAGTAGAATAGGATTTTTATAACAAGAATGATCACAGGAATCACAGGCCATGCTACCTGTTTCATTCAATATAGCCAAGTTATAATCTATAAACATATTCTTTGCATGTCTGTCAAACATGTATTTTGTGAATTGGCTCTTTTACTAAATCTGTTTTTAAAATTAGACAGAAGAATAGCCATGGATTTCAATGAAGCAGAAATGCTTTCTGTTATTCTGTATCAAATACTATTTCTAAGCAAATAGATGTAATTATTTTTAGCTTGCCACAGTTCAGATTTAAAACAGTGACCTACAGAATTATGTGACTTCTCAACTAATTAAGCTTCTTGTTCTGAAAGTAATGGCAAAACATGTCATTTTGTTCCTATTTTAGACAAATGAAAACTTAACAAACTTCTAGAGTATATAACCAACTCAGTATTTATATCAGCTCATTCTCTCCAGAGGTGGGTTCTGGCAGGCACTACTGCTGGTTTGCTCATGTGCGCGCACGCATGAATTTGATGTGCACAGCGTGCACGCACTTGATGTGCACAGCGCACACATGCATAGTGCAATTAACTATCGGTTTAACAACTGGTTCACTGAGGGCATGTTTTGCACGCACTGCATGTGTGCATTGCATGCGCAGTTTAGAGAAGACTTACCTTCAGGTTTACTGCTTAGGAAGGAAAACAGCTGAGGTGGGGCAATCCATTCTGCCGCACGACTCAGCTGCGAAGATAAAGATAGGTAAAGCACAGGGATGGGCGGACCCACTTGCTAGATCTTTGGAGCTACCACTTCACTCAAATCAGTCTGGACCAGTAGAATCCCACCCCTGATGCTGCCCCCAGTTAAGAAAATGTTATATCATATTACATATTACAGGTAGTCCTTGATTTACAACAGTTCACTTAGTGACTGTTTGAAGTTACAACATTACTGAAAAATGTGACTTATGACCATTTTTCACACTTATGACTGTCGCAGCATCTTCAGGGTTACATGATTTACATTTGTATGCTTGACAACTGACTCAGTTTTATGACGGTTGCAGAGTCCCAGGATTATGTGATCAACTTTTGCAACCTCCTGACGAGCAAAGTCAATGGGAAAAACAGATTTGCTTACCAAGCATGTTTCTAATTTAACAATTTCAGTGATTCACTTAAGAAATATGGCAAGAAAAATCATAAAAGATGGCAAAACTCACTTAACAAATTTCTCACTAAGCAATATAAATTTTGGGCTCAATTGTGGTCGTAAGTTGAGGACTACCTTTATAGACAGATAATAGAAAAACAGAATCTGCATTAGTCTTTGCACATGGAAGCAAAGAATACATCTTTATCATTTTATGTTCATTATTATGAATTGCTCACATTGGAATTTACCTTTAAAAAGGCTTTACCTTTAAAAGCCCAATTCAAATTATCAAAAGCCTTCTCTGCATCTAAAAAGATCAAAGTGACCTGTTTTTCATTTTGTTTTTCCAAATAGAGAATTCCAAAATATCCAGCACGTTTCTAACATTCAACCATCTTTAAGTTAAAAACCTACATTGCTCCCCATTAATAATGTATCTGCTGTCATTTTAATAAAATATTTGTATCTTAAAGATTCTATAGGCTGCTTTGTTTATGGTACTTGGAGAAAATTTGCAGGATGAATTCATGAAAGTTCTACTTCATGAATTTTCTCAACTTTTAAGTCTTTCTATACCACTTGCAAACCCTATATTTTGCAATTTGTTAACTAGAATAACAAATAATTTTTAATCATTTTTGAATTCATTACAATAGTAACAATGCTGGCCATGAGAGTTTACAGAGAGCAAATAATCACAGATGTGTTTATTGATTGTTGAAGCAAATATTATAATATAAGTATCTAAGATTCCTAGTGTTACTTTGCATTACAAGTCCAAAATTAATTGTATCATGATCTTATAGCTTAATTGTCAGAGCTTTTCTACAAAGCATTTATCTTGTTTCTATCAAGGCTGACAATTACATGTGAAAATTTTGGCTTATAATGAAATGCAGAGCTATTTTATAATTATCAAGGGTAAAATTAGTGAAGTCAATTATTTTCCCTTCAGATCTTTCCCAGTAGATGTTAAAAGAGAGCATGGTAATTGCCTTAGGTAACACTATGATTCTTAAATAATCATAACTTTAAGAATGTTGCTAATCTTGTCACAATGTATCTTTTTGCGATAATACTATATAAATATATCACTGTTGAGTGAATCTATTGAAATGTCAGTTATAAATTGCATGCAGTTGTTCCAAGCAAGCAAATTGTATCTGTAATTTTAAATCATGTTATGACTTTTCTCAATTCTTGCCATGCACATAACCCTTTTCATAGTACCATATGAAGATCATGTTTAGAAAGTGACAATTTCATACTTGTTTGGTCTAACTAAAATTACTATTTTCAGTTCTTGAATTCTATTTTCTTGTCTTTTCATTATGCACTGGGTAACGGTTAAATTAATCTGCAATTTCATAATGTAAAAAGGGCTGTCAAATTCATTATCTCTTGAAAAAATATATAGTTTACTCAATGATAAAATATCTGATAGTTGGGAGTACTCTGAAGCCGAACAGTGGGATGTTACAGAAGAAAACCCATATCTGATGGATTTTAGTTTTTATTGCATGTTCATTTCACTATCTTAGTATTTCTGTTTATTAGTTAAGCTTGCTCATTCTTAAATAGGTGTAGATTAGATATAAATTCTGAGTCAAGAGATCAATATATAACAAATATAACTATTTACCGACGTGGTGGTTTGTTGTGTAGACATGCAGGGATATATACAAAGTTTTGAAATCACGTTGCATTCAAAACCTGAATCATTTGGGACTTCCTGGGAGGAGCCTACTGGTGGAAGCAGCAAAAANCATTTTTGATGATTGCAGTGTCCCAGAGTCATGCGATCCCCTTTTGCAATCTTCTGACAAGCAAAGTCAATGGGGAAACCAGATTCATTTAACAACCGTGTTACTAATTTAAGACCAGTGATTCACTTAACAAACGTGGTGAGAAAAGTCGTAAAATGGGGGAAAACTCACTTAACAAATTTCTCGCTTAACAACATACATTTTGGGCTCAACTGTGGTTGTAAGCGGAGAACTACCTGTATGGTGGGGAAACTGCCCACCATAGATCTAAATGATGGGCAAATATCTGTCGCCCACCTGAAGGCAAATCTAAAGGAAACACTAAGAAATTCAAAGTTAAACCAGTCCAATTGGATTTCCCTTGAATTAAACAATACATTTTGTTGTTTGGCAAATTATTTATTTTGTTTGTTTTCATTTAATAGAACTGCATCCTACCTTTCTTCCTGGAGTTAACATACTGTTTTTTAATGTTTTCATTATAATAATCTTGTGAGGTAAGTTTGGCTCGGAGAGAGCAGCAACAAGGCAATAGCCAACCTGTTGCTAATGATGGTTTTGTATCTGCATCTTCCTGTCCTGTTTCAGCATTTTTAGTGCTGCACCGTGTAGGCTAAAATGTTATTTTTCAGATAAAAACAGTATGTTTTGCTAAGTAGAATCAGATGTGATTCATTATGCAACTGAGTCAGTAACCAAAGTTATGGAAACTTTCATTGTTCTACTTTGCCACGTTTGGCTCTGTTCCCGTGGAATAATATTGGAAGTCAGGGATGAAATTAGGTATCTACTCTTTGATGACAACAGAATTACTAAACAATGTGACTGAGGCAGTAGTGGGTTTCCATTATTTTTACTACCGGTTCTCTTGTGTGCGTGCACGAGACGCTTCTGCGCAGAAGTGTCCGGACAGGTGGGTGGAATCTCCTGCCGTTGCCACTACCAGTTCACCCGATCTGGGATGAATCGGGAGCAACCCACCTCCGCACTGAGGATATACTGTACTGGACAAGGTACAAAGTTTTGTACAGCAGCGTACAAATTTGAAGTTGCAGAAATTGTGCTTCGCCCCCTCCTGCTGTTGATCGTTATGACACTCTCACACCATGACTGAGGCTCACCAGTCTTTCAGATAGAAAGAATATACCATGGCCCACACCTAGGGCCTTTCACTGCTGGTCTGTACCACCAGCGCATCCTGCTCAGCAGAGCCATTAGTACCAGGCTTCAGGTGGCATCTTTGACTTTAATGTTGCCATTATTGGCTGTTCGTGTACTGCCTAATTCTTAGATCAGAATATTACCGTAATTTTCAGAGTATAAGATGCACCAGGGTTTTGAAGAGGCAAATTTTTTTTAAAAGTTTTTACACTCTGAAAACCTCCCAAAAACGGTGTTTTTTCATGAAAACACGCCCGTTTCCCCCCCCCCAAAGGTATGAATAGCCTTTAAGGGGCTTGCAGAGTGCTCCTGGGGGTGCCCACCAAAAAGAGCCCGCATAGCCTTTAGGAGGCTTAAAAGAGTTCTCCTGGGGGCTGCGGGGGGGAAAATTGAGCAAAAAACAGCCCATTTTTCACTCATTTCTGCCCTCCACAGCCCCCAGGGGCTCTCTGAAAGCTTCCCAGAGGCTCTGCATGGCCATTTTGGTGAAGGACTCAGGGTTCCAGGGGGCAAAAAATGCTGTATTCAGTGTATAAGACGCACCC